AAGACGTGTCACCCACGCATCGATATGCTGTTTTACAAAAAAAGACATATTAGTGACTTACATAAATTTAAAAAAAAATTAATCAAATTGAAATATAAGAAAAATATAAGACTTACCCCCCATCGAAATAGCCATTGTCTTCGACCCCTAATAACGCCCCACCAAGACCGATCAAGCAACAAATAGATATCATCGGTGAGCTTGCATATGTCAGTGAAACACCCCTGGCTCTGCTCATGTAGATAAAAATCAACAGCGGTCTTAGCCCAAAGGGTATTATCCAGAATTGTGTCCGTAGTTGTTCCCTCTCCTCTTCAGATACCGGTATGGTACTGGCCGGTAACTCATACAAGAGCCAACTTGAATCCATCATGTCCGGCACGTCAGAGGGTTTCTCAAGAAGCCTACATATGACGCCATGTGAATCGGGCTCTTGAATGGTGGGAGGGACCTCTTCAATGATGACAGTGGCCTCTTGAACGGTGGGAGGGGACTCTCGAGGAATGATAGGGGGGGCCTCTTCAACGATAGGAGTGGACTCTTGAGGATGACAGGCGAGTCGGGCTTCTTCTTGCGGTGTCTTCGCACTATTGGGGTGTACGGAGACTTAATAGCACGAGCACGCTGTCTGATGCGTGAACTCCGTCGTGCAAGCATAACCCGACGTAAAGCATCCACTCTATCGGGCCGCTAAATAATTAAATACAAAAATCAGTAAATAAACAGACATGATATTTAAACAGTGAAAACAAAGACAAATATGTTTCAAACTTGCATTGTATTCACCCAAGTCATTATTCTATCATAGTTCACAAAATGCATCAGATAACAAAGAAAAATATGTTTCAAACTAATACCCTGAGTTAGTATTTGTCTTTGTTTTGTCTATTGGTTGAAGTAATGCAATCCATTCAAGTTTCAATTTGCAGAAGAAGAAATAGTTTACTTTCGCAACACGAAACTTAAAATCGCAACGCGAAACCAAAATCGCAACGCGAAATGAAAATCGCAACGACAGAATCGCAATGCGAAATGAAAATCGCAACGAAAGAATCGCAACGCGAAATGAAAATCGCAATGCGATTTTGGTTTCGCGTTGCGATCTTATCGTTGCGATTTTGGTTTCGCGTTGCGATTCTGTCGTTGCGATTTTCATTTCGCGTTGCGATTTTGGTTTCGCGTTGCGATTTTAAGTTTCGTGTTGCGAAAGTAACTATTTCTTCTTCTGCAAATTGAAACTTGAATGGATTGCATTACTTCAACCAAAAGACAAAACAAAGACAAATACTATTTCACAGTGTTAAAGAATACACAGTTTAGCAGAATTGGCAGCAACCGAACAAATTTACTTTCAACCAAAAGACAAAACAAAGACAAATACTATTTCACAGTGTTAAAGAATACACAGTTTAGCAGAATTGGCAGCAACCGAACAAATTTACTTTCAACCAAAACAAAACAAAGACAAATACTATTTCACAGTGTTAAAGAATACACAGTTTAGCAGAATTGGCAGCAACCGAACAAATTTACTTTCAACCAAAGACAAAACAAAGACAAATACTATTTCACAGTGTTAAAGAATACACAGTTTAGCAGAATTGGCAGCAACCGAATAAATTTACTAAGCAATCTAAGTGAAATGGCTAATCTAAGTGAAATTACGAGTAAATTTATCATTAAGTTAAATATGGAAAATCTTAAACTTACCTCGTTGCGTAGAGTATGAACCTCATTCTGCAACGATACTATCATCTCACGTAGAGCGGCAACCTCACCACGTAAAGTTGACACCTCCACACGCCATGCACCATCGTTATCGCGTAGAGTACCGATCTCCTCACGCAAGGCATTGACCTCATCACGTAACTCCCTTGACTCATCCCGTTGAGGTGGAGGTGGAGAACAGGGAGATAGGAGTCGTGGCATCTTTGCCGGTCGCCTATCATGAGGTGATGGTGGAGAAGAGGCTCGATGATGTGACGGGATAGGTGATGGCTCTCGTTCTAGAGTGTATAGTCGGGTCGATCGGGTGATGGCTCTAGGTGAGGGATGGCTCTCGAATTGGAGGAAGTGGATGCTGCTCATCATCCGTGCCATCAAAAAAACTCTGACTAGCTTGCCACCAATCAGTGGCAAGCTCTTCCTCCGTGGGTGTCAGTCTTTGTAATGGAATGTTGGCCTCCTAAAATATAAAAACTCAAACAAAGTTAAACTCTATTAATACTTGTTTATATATTATATGAAAGTATTTGTGTTAACTTACATTATTTATTGTCGCATATGGTATTAAGTCTTCCCAATCCAACAGAGTTTTCCTCTTCCAGGAAATAGCCCTGGGAATATCATTTGACGTTTTTATTGCATGTACGCATGCTGGGGAAAGCCTCGAATATCCAAATCTACAAACATATAATAACAAAATTAGTAATTGTAAATAATTAATTATAATTTTAGAAACATTATATAGAAATTCTTACCTTAAAGGCCCAAACAAAGCCTGACAAAGTGTATTTGGACCCATCGCCCCGCAAACTTTTGCGGTCATCAAAGGCGACAACTTAGTCCAGGTAGCTTTCCATATATACGAACCCCACGGAAACAGATTCCATGCATTCAGGTCCTCTACCAATATTATTAGCTCCCGATGAATAGGTTGTCTGGCCTCTCTGCCTAAAAAGCCGGCATACACAAGTAGTAGAAGGCATACTCGGACAACATCGACGTCATCCATCCGAGTGAAACCAGCTTTCTTATTAAACAATTTCTTCAGGTCGTCGACATGTAGGTTCGGCTTCTCCATTGACTCATCCGGAAAAAACCCGGGATAACCATGATGGGCGGGCGATATGACGATGTACCGGCCTACATCATCGTGTCCGAATCGTAGACCAGTGATTAAGCAGAACTCCTTCCGCCCAAAGCAAGTATACGCTGGTGGAAAATGAAACCATATCTCTTCCTCACCACGTTGTATACTGTCGGGTAGATTTGATGTCATGGTCTGAAGCCACAAATGGGTCAATTAGCATCTCCACCCGGATGCTGTACTCTCAGCCATGGCCCGAAGCAGGTTTCCTCAAACAATTGTCTTTGAGCAGGTACAAAAACAATAAACATACCAAGTTAGATATACCAACTACACTGTGAAGATATACCAAAAACAATAAACATAAAAAGTAGTAGTTTATTCTTGAAACTAAAATTTGCAACACTGTTTTGTCTTTTGGTTGAAATGAAAATCGCAACGAGAGAATCGCAACGCGAAATGAAAATCGCAACGAGAGAATCGCAACGCGAAATGAAAATCGCAACGAAATGAAAATCGCAACGAGAGAATCGCAACGCGAAATGAAATCGCAATGCGATTTTGGTTTCGCGTTGCGATTCTCTCGTTGCGATTTTCATATCGCTTTGCGATTCTCTCGTTGCGATTTTCATTTCTCTCGTTGCGACAGTCATTCTCTCGTTGCGATTTTCATTTATCTCGTTGCGACTCTTCTGCAAATTGAAACTTGAATGGATTGCATTACTTCAACCAAAAGACAGAACAAAGACAAAGACAAATACTAACTTGAAAATCGCAACGAGAGAATAGCAACGCGAAATGAAAATCGCAACGAGAGAATCGTAACGCGAAATGAAATCTAAGTGAAATGGTTAATCTATTATTGAAATGACCAGTAAACTATCATCAGTTTCAATATGAAAAACCTACAATAATGCAAACATTTCAAAATAAAAATAATTAAAACTAACCCTCGGAGGTTGATTTTCCATTTCTGAATATTGTGAGGGATTTCTGACCGTGAATGGTTGTGAGAGATTTCGCCGGAGATGGGGACTGAAATCTTCGGAGATGGGGACGGATTTCTTCGCCGTAGAGAGTGAGAGATGGAGATGAGACTGAGTTGTGATTTTAGGTTTAGGTTAGAGTTGCGATTACGGGATTTTGTCTTAATATCGTTTTGTAATTTGAAAATAAAATACGCGTAGCGATTATAATGGCGCTTTAAATATCGCGTTGCGATTTACGGATACGCGTTGCGATTTTATGTATTATCGTTGCGATTTACCGATACGCGTTGCGATATACGGATACGCATTGCGATTTACCCATACGCGTTGCGATTTACGGATACACGTTGCGATTTACGGATACGCATTGCGATTTATGTGTTCGCGTTGCGATTTTCATATTCGCGTTGCGATTTTGTAAAATCGCAATGCGAATTTGACTATCGCATTGCGATTTTCAAGAATCGCGTTGCGATTTTGGAAACTGATTTGCGATTCTGGGGATCGCGTTGCGATTTTTATTTCGCGTTGCGATTTTGTTGGTCATTTTGGCAAATCCAAAAAAAGTTGGTTAAAATCGTATATTATAACTTTTTTTTGGTCACTGAGGCGATTTTCTCTATTACGAAATCATTCCCCCTTGATTCTGCTCGCAATTCCAATATCCAATATACAAGGCAACATTAGCATCCCCCAACACCTGTGTTGTGTGGTTAAACTGAACACTGACCAAAATACGATGGAGGGAGGCTGCGAGTGGAGGGATCCTCTGTGACAGTGGTTAGTAGACTTTCATCGAAATATTGGGTGATGTTCAGTTTTCCACGCCGAACTCTGGATAGCGTTGGATGGTCTACGTATGGCATGGGATCGTGGTGTAAAACAGATCGAAGTGGAAGTCGATAACAGTTAGACGGCGAGGTTCCTAAACTCTCCTGTCCAACTATATTATTTTACTAGAAATTATATATATGTCATGGGATGGTAAAATATCAACTTTTTTAAAGTATCAAAAACAAAAATCATCTTTGTTAAAGTAATAAATTTTAAATGCACTAAAGGGATGGTAAAATAAAACACATCATTCAAGAGAGAATTAAACTTCAGCAAAACCTTGAAGAGTGAATATTCCCAGAAAAAGAAAAGAAAATAAAAACACAATATAAAGTGATTCGAACTTTGAATGTTTGTTGGTCAGATACTCTCGGTTCATATGAAAAGGAGGTTAATGAACAACTCAGACGGACTATAACGATTAAGATAGCCACCTTCGCCAAAATGGGACAGAAAAGAACAAGATTATGGACAAAGTAATTAACATAGGTTCATAGGTCAAGTTGATATGTAAACCTACAACATAACTCCCAGAACCCATACTGTGAAGGCCAAATAATATATATAATCACACCGCCACTACAGATAAAAGAAAACACAGGAGACGGTGACAGTGTACCGTGTTAGACCTAAGAAGTTAAACCAAAGCAATGTTGCTTTCCCCGCCAGGGTGTTTGCGTACACCACCGAGGAATTCTCGAGATTCTGCTTTCCCATCAGCAAAGATGTTGTTGCCACTCATCTCCCGCAGCTTCGCCGCACTGAGTGGTTTCTCAGCAGACCCTGGTGGAACATCACCCTTAAATATGTCGTTTCCTGATAGCTCTGAAAATTTCTGGTTATGTATTTTCTTTGCTGTCTTAACCACAGCTTCCTCACTTGGCGTGCTAACTCCAGCAGGCTGCAGCATAAAATCCAAGCCCAAAAACTGGTTAGATGGGAAACAATGCTTTTTATCCCTAAGAAAAAGTGAAGCACAAAAAGGTAAAGCCCGATGCATGATTCGTATCTATCTTAGGTGCCATTTGATGCACAAGGCACAATTTGTTTAATCATTTGACAGAATTCTGTAAGTTATAGTTTTAACCTTGGTTTTAAAAAGCGTAAAGCGCCCTAAAGCGCCTAGGGTCCTAGACGCCGAAGCGCTAAGCGCTAAGCGAAAGCGCTCACTTTATGCACAAGAAGCACCAGAAAGGCTGAAATTCACAAAAAAATACAAAATATTTATAAATTATCTTATAAATACTTAAATATCAAAGTGTCAATACATATATTTAAAACTTATAAGTACTTAAACACCAAAATATAATTCTCAATATACTTATAACTTATAAGTTATAAACACTTAAATACTTATATACGATTAACCATACGACTATACGAGCATACTAATCTCAAAAGATGGTCTATACTAAAAGTAGTCTAAAGTGAGATGAACAAAAGTATTTTTCTAAACCCTCAATTCCTTATAACTAAAAATCCTCTAAATCGTCATCGTCATCAACTCGGACAACACCATCTCCTTCATCACTAGACACTCCAATATCTTCTTCCATCTCATCTTCATCAACTAAGCATCTACGAGATGGTCTACTAGAGATAGGATTATGAGCAGGAGATTTTCCTTTATCATTTCTCGATGGTCCGGTTCCATCATTTACTACTTTTGATGCTCTAGTTAGATAACTAGGCTCATATGCACTGGAAGCATTAGCAACATCACTCTATGTCAAATCCTCACCAACAAACACCGCCTCATCATCATCTTCATCTTCTTCCATTCTTCCCATCAACCACTCATTGCTCTCATCAATATCTTGCAAAAGAATGGGATCGGTCTCTTTACTTTTAGCTCGGCGCTCCAAGGCATGATTGAATTTCACAAACACCATGTCATTCAATCTAGATTGTGCCAATCTATTTCGTTTCTTAGTGTGAAGCTACAAGAAAAACAAAAACCAAAACTGATAATTTAATAGCCTGCTAAACCCTAAATAAGCCCAAAAATCATATCTATTAAAGCCCAAAATCGTATCTTCTAAACTCGAAATTAAGCGCCGATTAGCGCTTTGCTAAAAGCGCTGCAAAAGCGCCGATTACTACCGCTTAATGAATTCGTAGTGCTTTTGCTATGCTGAAGCGCCAGGGGCCTCGCTCGAGTCGCTTAGCGTTTTAATCGCGCTTAAGCGGCGCTTTTTTAAACTAAGGTTTTAACATGTACTTACTCCGATGTCAGAATTGCCTTTCGATGCCAATCGACGTACGGTTGTTGGCCTCGGCAAAATTTCACGCGAGGGAGAAAAGATGTCATTCCCACCAAGCTCCTTGGACTTTGCATTAGAGAGCTGCTTCTTCAACTCTGCTTCCTCATTTTCTAGTGTTCCACTTAGCTCACGCTGCTTTGCCGCCCCAGGAACAGTAGTTGGCTTCTTGGGTGAAATACTCTCTTCCTCGGCAAACGAGATGTGACTCATTCCGGCTATAGCTTGCTGACAGTGCCAAACATTAATGAACCACAACTTGATACAAATATAACATTTTCCAAGAATTGTCATGATTTACAGATATCTATAACCTCAACATAATTCAGAAATGAAAGAACTGAACGCATACCTGGTACATTCGTATTCCAGTTTTGTTGATCGGAGTCGGATTGGCACTGCCATGTTCGGACTCATCATTCCCTCCATTAGCTGCAAAAATACCACTACCAGTCATCTCCTTAATTTTATATCCAGAACAAGGTTTCCTGGAACTTGCAGAGTCAATTAGAAAAAACAAATTAAAACCAAATATAAGTAATCCATAGATAGAATTGAAAAAAAAAGGAGACCAATTAAGATCTCCTTCAACGGTTGTACAATTGAACTATAACGGAGATCCATCAAGGAAAGTAATCCAACAGATCAAATTAGAAAGTTCTAAAGTCCACGCAGATTCGAGGTCTCTTTTTTTTTCCTTTTCAGAACAGTACTTCAGGTAATAAATATACATATAGGAAGTAGCAGAGACAAATAAAACATAAAAAGGATAAAAACTGAAAACTCTAGTAATAACTCCAGTTTTTCTAAAACTACATTATCTATATAAAAATGTAGAGCAAAGAAAACGAAAAATTTGTAAAAGAAGAAGAAGGCGGAAGCAGATCTAACCATTTGTTTAAGCTCTCGAATTCTTCATCAGTCACTTGACCTCCAAACACCGCTTTTCTGATCCCATCCGACGGCTACCATTAATCGAAGAAACAAATCAATATAGAACACTAATTCACAATACAAACAATTTTTATTTTTGGAATGAAGAAAAAGAAGTACCTGCTGAGGGCGGGTGGAGCGTGCAGCGGAGGTGGTGGAATAGGGTTGAGGAGTGTCGAACCAAGTGAGTAGATCTGCAGTGGAAGTGTGTGGTTTCCTCTGTGGGGTGCTCGTGCTCCTCTCCATTCCTTTTTTCTCGTAAAACAAAGCTTTCAATTGAATAAAACAACGGAGAGAAGGCTTGGGGTTCTTTCTCTGCAGCACCAAAAACAAAAGGACTCTTTTCGGAGCTTGGAATGAGTGAGGAAAGTGAACCAAGGAAACGAGATCCGTGGTATTTCTTTTCCCCTTCAATATTTCAAAGGTTAAATTTATATTTATAAGGTAAAAAGGCATACGAGATACTTATATTTTTTTAATAAAAATTATACGTTTACTGAACTTTAATCTCTATCTTTTTTACTCATCATACTTTTAATTTTTTTAAATTTCTCATTAAATTTTAGACATTAAACTTTTTTTTATCACTTCGACCGTTAAATTTATAACGGCGTTAAATTAAAATTAAAAAAAAAATTAAAAAGTACAGTAAGTGAAATAGGAGAGAATGTCAAGTTCAGTCAGTAAACATGTGTCATGTTTTATTATTAAAATAATCCACATAAAGACCCCGTTATTGAGTAAACGGTCGAGTGACCAAAAAAAGTTTGATGTCTAAAGTGCAATGAGAAAATTAAAAAAAATTAAAAGTACGGTGAGTGAAATAGGAGAAAGTGTAAAGTTCAATGAGTAAGCGTGTAATTTACCCAAAAATTAAAATGGTCGTTGAATTATTTTTTCATTCAACGTGACCTTTTAACTTAAAAATAAATTTTCTATAAGTTATATTTAGATACACCTTTCAACTTACGATGTATCTAAATATATACAAATCTAATCATATATCATATAATTTCTAAACTTCGCTTTATATACTAGTTTATTATACGATGTACAAAGGTCTACGAATAGTCTTTAAAATTATTAGAAGTATGATTAGGTGTATGTATTGTTACAAAAAAAACTTACCATGTTTCTTAATTATACTTAGAAACAAAATTTATAAGTCTAGACTACTTTAACAAAAATACTTTATATAAGTGTTGATGATATGATTATATGTTACACGTATATATTATATAATATATATATTTTAAATTTTTAATAATTTATATGTTATGATATATATTTTAATTTTTCATTTTTTAATAGCATTTTTAATATATATTTATTTTTTAGTAATTTAATTTTAATTTTTAATTTTTTGAATACTTTTATATTTAAAATTTAAAAATATATATATATTTTTAAATTAATTAAGCCCATCAAAATTTTAAAAGTACTGATTTGATCCTCAAACAAGACTAAAGAAAAATTAATTTAGCTCATCTGTTATGTCATCTGTCACGTCATAACCCATCGTGGATCGTCACAACAATATTGTGAATTACCATGTCAACATCATGAACTATCACATCAGCACTATAACGATCAACAACAGAAAACGTTGGTCAAAGGATCATATTGGTTTTTTTATGAGTTTTTAAGGCTACACTAAAGGAAAAAATAATTCAATGGTCACATTGATTCTTTTAAAAGTATAAAGACCTTTGATGTCAAAATAGTTTTTACACATGTCATGGGATTATAATATTATTTATGGTGTCATAACCATTTTTAGAGGTAAAATAATTGTTTATTGTTTTAAAAACAATTATGATTTTAATTTGAAAAATTCGGTGATTTGAAATTAATTTGGGATAAAATTGAAAAGAGTCGCCAACGGCCTTTGGGTTAGGTAGGTCGAATACCTAAAAGCGTCTTTTAAAAATAATTTTAAGAAAAATCATTTTTAAGATAAAAGATGGTCCGTGTTTACCAAAGATTCTATTAAAACGTGTTCGAGAGTTGGTTACGCGTGGGAAAAGATTAGCACCCCCACAACCCCAAAAATTGGTACTGTGTCGCTTACACGTTGTCGTAATGGTGGAAATCCTGAATTAAATATCAAGTTCAATTATGATCCTTTTATTGAAAAATATAAGGGGTATTATTTTGCACAATCCTAAAAAGCACACTCCTTGTTAGTTAAGGTATGTTTTTATAGATTCCCTATTCGGAAGATCATTACTATGTTTTTATCAAATTATGTATATTAATATATAAAAAATAATAAAATAAGAAATCACTTAGTATAAAAAAAGGGATGTTGCGAAACGACATATTAGGTCGGTGATAACATGCACATATTCAATAATATAATTTATATGTACATTGTAACATAGAATATATAGAAACAATAAATGGTATAATGATTAGAACATGTTTAATACCAACATATTCACAATATTTACAAACTACCATGTAATATGAAAACGATGAACATAAATTATACATTGCACTGACATATATCATAATGTGCCCACGTGATAAAGAAAATATTTAATATATAATATGGAAACACGTATGCATAAGTTTAATAAAAAGAGAAAATAACCTCAGTGACCAAAAATCCCATATAATATACGATTTTAACCAACTTTTTCCGGATTTTCCAAAATGACCAACAAAATCGCAATGCAATCGCTAATTCGCAACGCGATCTCCATTATCGCAAATTCGCGTTGCATTTTCGCAATGCGATAGTTGAAAATCGCGTTGCGATGGTCTACAGTATCGTTGCGATTTTCCCAATTCGCAATGCGAATAAGTAAATCGCAACGCGAATTGGGAAAATCGCAATGCGAATAAGTAAATCGCAACGCGAATTGGGAAAATCGCAATGCGATACTTACTATCGCAATGCGATAATACAAAATCGCAATGAGATACTTACTTTCGCAACGCGATACTGACTTTCGCAACGCGATTTACATAGCGCCATTCGTTTAACGCGTTTTTTTTTCAAATTCCAAACCGTATTTTTTTCTTAATAAATCGGAAAATGAACCGTCCAGTAATCGCAACTCATAACCTCAAACCCAAAACACAACACTCAGTCCCATCTCCATCTCTCACTCTCTACGGCGAAATCCGTACCCATCTCTGAAGATTTCCGTCCCCATCGCCGGCGAAATCCCTCACAACCATTCACAGTCAAAAATCCCTCACAATCATTCAGAAATGGAAAATCAACCTACGAGGGTTAGTTTTTTTTATTTTTATTTTGAAATATTTGCATTATTTTAGGTTTTTCATATTGAGATTGATGATAAGTTTTACTGGTAATTTCAATAATAGATTAACCATTCACTTAGATTTCTTATTAAATTCATTCGATTGCTGTCAATACTGCTAAACTGTTTAGCCTGTGAAGTTAGTATTTGTCTTTGCTTTGTCTTTTGGTTGAAGTAATGCAGAAGAAGAATAGTTTCGAGAATGAAAATCGCAACGCGAAACCAAAATCGCATTGCGATTTTCATTTCGCGTTGCGATTTTCATTTCGCGGTTGCGATTTTCATTTCGCGTTGCGATTGTCTGGTCGCGATAGTCCTTTCGCGTTGCGATTCTCATTATCGTTGCGATTTTCATTTCAACCAAAAGACAAAACAGTGTTGCAAATTTTAGTTTCAAGAATAAACTACTATTTTATGTTTATTGTTTTGTTTTTGGTATATCTTGACAGTGTAATTTTTGGTATATCTAACTTGGTATGTTTATTGTTTTTTTGTAGAAATTTTTTTCGGCTTCATTGACATTAAGGAATAAAGTTAGCCTAGCCACTACAATTGCTTGAGAAACCCTCTGACGTGCCGGACATGATGGATTCAAGTTGGCTCTCGTATGAGTTACCGGCCAGTACCATACCGGTATCTGAAGAGGAGAGGAAACAACTACCGGACACAATTCTGGATAACACCCTTTGGGCTAAGACCGCAGTTGATTTTTATCTACATGAGCGAAGCCAGGGTGTTTCACTGACATATGCAAGCTCAATGATGATATCTATTTGTTGTTTGATCGGTCTTGGTGGGGCGTATTATTAGGGGTCGAAGACAATGGCTATTTCGATGGAGGGGTAAGTCTTATATTTTTCTTATATTTTCATTTGATTAATTTGTTTAAAAATTAATGTAATTCACTATATATTTTTTTTGTAAAACATCATATCGATGCGTGGGTGTCACGTCTACTAATAATTAGGAAACTTAAGGAAAAAAAAAAAACACGGTATACAATAATGCCGACGGCTTTTAACGCAGTTCACTTGAAGAATCAACGAGATGAATCATTTGCGTTGGGCAATGGACAAGCTAAACTTTATCCTGCATGGTGGGAGGTCGATAAGGTTAGTGTTTATTTTAGATTGAGTTTAAAGGTATTCATAAATAAGTGCGCAAATGAATGAATTATTACTTATGATTGCAGGTGTTTTATCCCTGTTTTGGAACGTAACCATTGGCTTCTCGTCGAGCTTTAGATCCCATCCCTTAAGGCAATAGTATGACAGCATGATAAATTACATATCATTGGCTGATTTAAGAGATATTATTAAGGGATGGAGCTCTTATTTGGCTAAATACTTGGATGCGATAAATTATTGGACTCGTTCTGGAAACAAGAAGCCAAAGAAGCTCAATATTACAGTTAGCAGAGATGAGACCGCACCACAACAAACGAAAGGACCCAGAGGGGATTGTGGTCCTCTCGTATGCTTGGCGTTGGACCGTTTGATCACAGGAAGTATAAAGTATCTACCTCCCACGATATAGATAGAGCTGCAGTAGGCTTGTGGTTTCGACATTATATGGCTAGATCGTATATACGAGCGCTGCTACCTGCATCCGCGTTATAAAATGTCCATAACAATTGGTATGTTTATAGGCTTGTGGTTTGAAAATGTTTGGTTAAGTACCTAGAATTCAATAATTTGCTGTTTGTAGGTTTTAGATGTGTAGAAAGTGTTGTTTGAGCAAATGTTTGGTTTATGCAGGTTAATCTCAGAAGTGAGCTGCGTGAAAATGATGTATGGCTGCAAAAGTTGATTCAATAGTATAAGTGTTATTTTCTCTAATATTATTGCTTATTTTTTTATTGTTTAATTGATTTGTAAAAGGTGATTTGTAAAGTTGATTTGTTTAATTGATGTTAACATAATTCTTATTTGTGCTTGTTTAATTGCTTGAAATGTAATGGTTGATTTTGTTGATTTCAATCTGCATTATGTTTGAAGGCAAAAAGTACTATCGCAATGCGAAATGAAAATCGCAATGAGAGAATCGCAACGCGAAAATGAAAATCGCAACGCGAAATTAAATTCACGTTGCGATTTTCATTTCGCATTGCGAAATTAGCGT